ACCATGAAGGCGCAGTCTCAGATTGCTTGGGGAAAACTCTACAGAGGAGGGAACCTAGGCAGCTGTGAGAAGGCAGGGAGCTTCAGCCTCCACAACTGCTCCATAGGGACAAGACTCACCAAAGATGATTTGCTGTGCTCAGTAGACCTGACACACTTTTTCTTTCTAATAAAGAGTCCGGCTAGCTCAGGATTGTCTCACTAACAGGCACCTCCTTTCCAGAGTTTAAGGCAAGGGATGTTCTGAGCCTTACCTGGAGATTGCCAGGATTGAACCCGGTGCCTTTTACATACAAGACACATGCCGTACCCCTGAGCTATGCTACGCCCCTTTCCCCAGGAGGATTGTGGATTGCTGGAGGTGTTTCACACAAGGGATATTTTCCCTGAGAGCCAGTGTGGTGTAGTGGTTAAGAGCGGTAGTCTCGTAATCTGGGGAACTGGGTTCACTTCCCCACTCCTCCACATGCAGCTGCTGGGTCACACTTCTCTAAAGTTTCTCAGCCCCACTCACCTCACAGAGTGTTTGTTGTGGGGGAGGAAGGGAAAGGAGATTGTTAGCCGCTTTGAGACTCCTTAGGTAGTGATAAAGCGGGATATCAAATCCAAACTCTTCCTCCCCCCCCCTGCAACACAAACATTCACCCCCCTTAGTAAGCAATCTTTCCTTGCAAAACCTTAAGCAGCTGAGTGTAACCGAAAGAGGGGGGAAAGGCATTTGTGCGTTGTTCCTCAGAGACAGCGATGCCTCTGCCACCCCATTTTCAACCCTGGACATGCTTCTGCCTTCGCTTGGGCATTGCATTCATCCAGCATCCTTGAGACCTTGCAATCCCTCCCTGTCTCTGGGCCTTGTGCCTGCCTGCTCTGCAGTCCGAATAAGTTCCTTCCTTCCTTCCTTCCCAAAGAATCTTTTACAGAGGAGCTTATCATAGCCCTGTCTCTGCCTCTAACTTTCGGTACCCTTGGGGGGGGTGTTTGGGGGGGGGACGGGACCTCCGTCTGCCTTGGTTTGAGATGTTACGTGAAGACGAGGAGCCTTCTGTCTATGCACCAGGGTTTATGAATCAATCTCTTTTTCTTCCCTGGGTTTTCCCAGCTGGTTCCCTGGCGCTCAGCAGTTTCTGGGCATTCCGCTTTGCCAGAACCGCCCCCCCTCCCTCTCCATTACCCGGCTGGGAGATGAAAGCTGGCTCTCTCCCCCCACCCCCTCATTTGGAGGGGCTTATCCTGGAACAAAGCCCTCAGCGCCAGCCTGGAATCCCAAGCAGCTGCTGGCTTGCTTGCTTCCTTGTGGGTCCTTTCATATCGCCAATTTCTCTCTCTCCTTTCACCCCCCCCCCAGCGCCAGATAGCTGCTTTATTCCTCTTCTCTCCTCTTCTCTCTCTCCCCCCCGCCCCATACCAGCTCCTCCCAGCAATTCTCAATCAAGATTGCCTTAAGTGTAGCTAAAGGCATATAATATCTGATATTTGATGGAGGAAAAAGGGGCAGGCTTGTCCTGTTTTGAGAGCATGGGAAATGCACAACATACAATGTAATAGAGAAAGCTTGGTGTGTGTGTGTGTGTGTGTGTGTGTGTGTGTGTGGTGTGTTAGGTGTTTGTGTGTGATGCCACATGAACCAGTCTCCCTACAACGCACACACACATAACGCTAAACTGTGGTTAACAGTGTTATGATGAAAAGACCCATTGCTTAGTTCACATGATCCCCTAACCATGGTTTGGAGGGCTGGGGATAAATCATGGGCTCACACACTCCCCCTTCCCTTCTTCTGTTCAGCTTCACTTCCCCGTTTCTTGTTTGGAGCTAACCATAGTTTGCCATGGCACCCAGGTCAGCAAACTATGGTTAGCTTCTGCTCTCCACTGTGCTGTTGTTTCTCTGCAAATTGGAAAGATGCAGTTTTGGCTCTGTGTTCATTTGTGTGGATGTGCAGGAGTGCAAAAACCCTGTGTAGGCTTGCAGATTGTTGAGTTGCGTATGAAAGGAGGAAAGGTGGTATATCTGGAAGAGTATTGATCATATAATTGTAGCCTTGGAAGAGACCCTGAGCGTCACCTAGTATACTCCCTGCAATGCAGGAATCTCGTCTATAGCATCCATGGCAAACGGTCACCCATACTCTGCTTAAAAACCTCAAAGGAAAGTCCGTATAATAAAAATAGTAATATTTGGAGGGGTATTAATTAGTACACGCATACCAGCTACAATCCTATGTAGCGCGGGAGGATTGGGTACAATTGTCAGGGTATCCTCAGACCCCACTTTACCAACTTTATTCTAGTAGTAAAACCGGAAGTTGCAGCAGTATACCTCTGGGACTTAGAATTTGAAATTTCTCCTCAGGATGTTGCAAAGAACGTGGCTTCTGGTTCAGAAGCATTAGGCGGTCTTGTGGTGGCCAGCGAGTGGAGAATAAAAGGATTGTGTTTTCCACTTAAAGCCAAGCTGCCCTGGCCCTTATCTGCTTCTAAGACACGGCAGCAGAGAGAGAGAGAACGAGCCATGGATATTTTTAGAACGGCTGAGGAAAGAGGAGCCGGGCATTCGGTGGTTCTGCTTTGCAGCTTAGAAACTTTCGAGGGCAAACTTCCCTTTGGAACCGTCTCTCTCAACACCGGCGGGGAAAACCAATGTTAGAAAACGTTTGTTGAGTATTGCGGGGATCTGATGGTTTTCAACAGTTGTGGAGACCCCCAGCACCGCCCTCAGGGCAGGACTTTAGGGTGAATGTCAAGGACCTTACTCTGCCGAACGCAGCATGTCTGCCTTTCCACATATTTGCAATTCCCAGAGTTGCTTGGGAAGAGAGGTGGATGGTTAAATTACCATGGGAAGCGTAGTTCTGAGAGGGGAATAGGGGGGTCTCCTAGCAACTCTCAGTGCTCCTAACAAACTACAGTTCCCAGGATTCTTTGGTGGAGGCTAGGGCCACATTCATGGCGTACACTAAAATTTTGTTTTATTTATTTATTACATTTATATGCCTTCTTTATCTTCCAAGGATCTCAAGATTGTGTACTCCTCCCCATTTCGTTTAATCCTCACAACAACCCTGTTGTAAATCTCGCTCCCCATATTTCTGCAGCCACATGCGGGGTTTTTTTTAAAGCATGGAAGCCCTCCAGAGAAGTTGCCAGTGTTTTTAGTGGAAATTTGTCCTAATGTACATACATGTACACAGGTTTGATAAATGTACAGTCGTACTTTTGAAGCCAAACGCCTTGGCTCCCAAACAAATCGGCTCCCGAACCATTGAAACCCAGAAGTGAGTCTTCCGGTTTTCGAATGATTTTCAGAAGCCGAAGGTCCAGCGCAGCTTCCGTGGCTTCCGATTGGCTGCAGGAGACTCCTGCAGCCAATCGGAACCCGCACTTTGGTTTTTGAATGGTTCCGGAAGTCAAACGGACTCCTGGAACGCATTCTGTTCAAAAACAGAACACATTGTGTACACATTTGCCCAAGTGGTTTTCCTTACTATAATTAATGACTTTGTACACTTCGGTTGGATGGAGAACTCTGCCGCAAAATTCAGAGAAGTGCAAATTTTGAAAGAATAGTCATTTTTTGAGAAGTGCAGATTTGGGGAATTTCTTGTTAAGATCAACATCAAATTTCTCCTTTCAGAATGGTCCCTGGTGATGAGAGGGGCAAGGAGAGAATCTGCTGAGGGCATTTATTTCACACACACACACACACACACACACACACATGAGAGAGACCTCGCATGTTGTGAGAATCATAATTCTATACAGAACAAGTTTCACACCTTTCAAATCAAGGCATTTATAGGCCAGAGAGATGAATTGCATTCCCTTCAGAGGCCGTTTTACTTCCCATTGGGAATGTTACCCATTGTGATAAAAGATGAGCTGCCAATTTCAATGTTTCTCCTCCTCCTCCTGTTGCCATGGATGGGGCAGAGGAAAGGGCCGCTGTTTACAAAAAAAACAATAACAGCCCCGTGAAGGGGGGATGACCTGTTTGTTGAAAAGATAGGCTGGCGAAAGCTGCTGCTGTCACATAATAGATAAGAGCAAGTGCTGTGAGCCAGGAAGTACACGGTTCAGATTTCATCTCTGCTCTGAATTTATTAGATAGCTTTGGGCAAATAACCAACCACACACACCCTCCCCCCGCCCGGCTTTTTCCCCCTCCTCAGCCTCAACCTTTGCAATATGAGAATAAATGCCTATCTTGCAGGATTTCACCGGCGAGGCCTGAGAGGAAGCACTTTGAAAAACACTTTGTGGGAGCTGCATAAATCCTAAAACACGCTGCTGTTATTTGTTATTTAAAATGATGGGCGAGAGCCGTAGCTGCCCTTTCTTGTCGAAGGCCCACGGTTCAATTCTTGGCATCTCTGGGTCGGGCCTTCCCTGAGGGCCTGGAGACCTGCTGCCGGTCAGTGTAGGCAGCACTGAGGTAGATGGAGCATTGGTCTGACTTGGTTTAAGGTGGCTTCCCATGGATTTAAACCACAGGCTCAACTTTGAACATTAAGTTAAGTTGTCCAATCCTCTTTTAAGACCTTTATGTGGCCACAATAAAAGTACATGTTTATGTCTGCGACATCCATTTCGTTCTGTAATTAATTTTGGCAGTTAACATTTTTGGGAAATTGAGTCTGTAACGTACGTGCCCCGTGAAAAAATGGTGGGCAGCACCGAGCACTTTGTGAATATTGCAGTGAATGATCTCTTGACAGCGACCCAGCCGTTAAGATAGAGGTCAGCAACTGGTGGCCCCCAAGCTGAATCCGGCCCCCCTAGAAGGAAGCCCCAAAGTTGCCAGCTTGGAGGCAAAAATATGGGATATGGAAGAACCATTGACGGGTGGATATGGGGCTTGCTTGGGTAGGTCCTTAGGCAGGTGGGTCTTGGGCCTATCCGTTTTGAGGAAACCTCTGACAAAATCTACTACTGAGCATGGCCTTAGGTTGTTTTCTGGTCAGTCCTGATATTCATTCATTCATTCTTTTTCTCTTCCCCTCAGCCCCAGAATGTCACGCAGAAGTGCAAGTGTCCGTCCCGGCTTTGTTGGAGGTCCAGCTAGGCCACAAAGTGTCCATCTCCTGCACTCACACCACGGAAGGTCATGATGGCTTGCCCCTGGTGGAGTGGTTCATCGTAAGTATGCGGGTCTTGGGAAGGCGGATCATGGCGGCTGGGGGTGTGGTGCTTTTAGACGCCCTTAGTAACCAGCCCTTTTGTCCTTGGCTGTGAATACCTCTGCAGACGGACAAGAATGGGGAGCAGCGGCGTGTGGCCTACAGCGATCAGGGTCGGCAGGGGGTGGACAGAGGCACCGAGTACACGGACCGCGCCTCCATGGAAGCCGGCCACAGTTTGGTCATCAAAGCGGCCGAGGTGATTGACGAGAGAGCCTTCTCCTGCCAGGTGACGGCGGGCGCCGCAGGGAGCGGAATGGGAGTGACGCAACTCAAGGTGTACGGTGAGGCTCCTGCCATTGCTTCTCTCGCCATTCGGACCACAAGGCGCTCCTGCCGCCATCTTGTCTCCTTGTCCTTCCCTCGTAAAGCTCTCTTTATGGCTTGCCCTTGTTTTCGCTGCCTGCCCACAGCTTTCCTGGCTCCACCCTTGCTCCCCTTGCACCTGAAAGTCTCCTTTGGGCCGGCCCTACCGTTGGGGCAGTGTGAAACGGCTGCCTCAGGGTGCTGGTTTTGGCTGTCAAAGAATGCTAGCAAACCTAAATTAATTGCTGGTAGATTGGCAAGGAGGAGGAGAGGTGCTTGTAGGATTTTCTGCCTGCGGGACCAAATAATTTGTCTACCCTCAAGCTTTGTGCATGAGAATTGCGGGCGGGTGGAGATTTATTGCTCTGCCTCAGGCGGCAAAATGTCTTGAACTGGCCCTGCAGATTCCACCTTCAGATCCCAACCTTGCCTTCAAAGACACCGTTTTTGGTTAACCCTTAGGCCTCCACATGAACTGTTGCAAAGCCTAAATAAGTCCCTGTGGCTGGGATGTAGATCCTTGTAGCCAGAGACCTCTCCCCACTCTCTTAAGTTAGCTGTATACGCACCTTGTGAATCAGTAAAAATGAATCTTGCTCTTCTTGGCTTGGCTAGCCCTTAAAAGCACTGTGTGAATCAATCGATAGAAGAAAAACAATCCCTGCTGCACAATGCTTCTTGGCCAAATGTGGCTTTTTTCTGTTCCCGGTGTCTTGGCCCTTTTATGTCATCTCCGTATTCCCTTTGCCAAGCTCTGAAAGGCTCCTAAAGAGGAAGTTCTAGGCCCTGAGATGGCCCAGTATATTTCTGGTACCCGAAGCAGAACATCCATAATGATGGTAATATATTTCATGCTATTATTATGATTGGCAGCTTAATGGTGCCCTCAGAGCTGCAGCCTGAGGTGCCCCTTCCTTGCCTTGTGTAATGATAAGGCCGGTCCTCTCTAGGCGTCTTCCTCCACATTAACCTGTGGCTAAATTAGAACTAAGCCGGTGTTTTGTGGAGACAGGACACACAGTGTTAAGATATTGTGAAACGCCTGCCTTGCATCAGTTCAACCTGTGTCAACCTATTTCCTTATCTCCTTAGAAGGCCCCTGTTTTTTGTGTTCCTTTTCATTTCGTTTCACTTTTAATTTGTATACCGCCTACTTATATTATTATACGCAAGGCGGTTTACAAGCTGAAGAAACAGCACCTTATAACAATCTGATCCAGTACAAATAAGGCGCAATAGAAACATAACTTTAAAATAAATAACTTACGTCAAATAAAATAACCCATTAGAATATAATAGTATGTAATGAAATTAAATTATAGGCAAACGGCAATCAAATAGCAATTCACTCTTAACAATTACAATTACAGTGGTACCTCTGGTTACGTACTTAATTCGTTCCGGAGGTCTGTTCTTAACCTGAAACTGTTCTTAACCTGAAGCACCACTTTAGCTAATGGGGCCTCCTGCTGCTGCCGTGCCGCCGGAGCACAATTTCTGTTCTCATCCTGGAGCAAAGTTCTTAACCTGAGGTACTATTTCTGGGTTAGTGGAGTGTATGGAACATGAAGCGTATGTTATCCGAGGTACTACTGTACAATAAAAAATTACTATAATCAGTGAAAATGACAGCGAGTCACAACGCAAAAAATACCACAATATGTTCAGGACCGCAAGGAAGGATCAAATCGAGAAACCAAGACACACAACTTGAGCCTGGTTTTGTGGCAGCCCAGCCTTGCTTAACGCTGGTCCTGCTTGAGAAAGATATAATTTCTTAGAGATAAAATAGCATCATAGAATTGTGGGGCTGGAAGGGACCCCTAGGGTCATATTGTCCAACCCCCTTGCGGTGCAGGAGCCTCGACTATCAGAACACCGATGGAACATATTGTAGCATTGCAGATCACTCAACCTTCCCGCTCTGAACTGGCAAGAAATACCCTGTGCCCCCATCTCTTTGCTATCCCGGTTGATCTCCCCAAATCTAGGACTATCTAGGACTTCTCATAACTCCCTGCAACCCAGTCCTCCTGGGCCAACCTCCTTCCCTCCAGCACCCAGCTGCTTCTTCACCCGATGATGCGTAATTCCTTCCCTTACGAAATCGTTTCCCTGCCTGCAGCAAAACACCTGGAGACGCCACCTCCGCTCTTTTTTCCAAAGGTGGCTTGCATCTCTCATTCTGTCTGTACTTTCCCCCTCCAGCAACCTAATGTTGATGGGTCTTGTATGCTCCGAGCTTCCATGGCCATGGTCTTCCAGGTTCAGGTCAGCCTCCCTGACTTTGGGACATCAAATGGCTGCTTGCAACAACATCCCAGTGGCTCTGTCATGCACCTGCAAACACAAATGGCACAAGAGAAACAGCTGTGTTTGTCTACACACCTTCCATGCTGATAAACAGAGACGCCTGATCATTTCCCCTTCTCTGATCGAGAGGAAGCAGTGGGGTTTGTGGTCCCAGAATCTAGCTCTGTGCTGGTTTGTTTTGGGGTCCACTCCCCCCCCCACCAACCTTGCTTATTGAATAAGATAACTTCTATTGTGTTTGCCCTTGAACCGCAGCAGCACCAAGCGAGATAACAAAATTTAAACCAGATAACAGAAACGCACACGAAAAATTCAATGCTCTCTATTTATAACCAGTAATTCATAAAGTTAATAATTAGGATTAGCAAAATGAAAACATTCACACTGAGGCATGAAACATATTAAAACATATTCTTTAAAAAAACAGCCATTTGTGTAATACAAAGCTGATATCAAGGTATGTCGTTTGTGTTTTCAGATCTCCATGCTACCTCCATACTTATTCCTATATAAATAGCAGCCTTTATGGCAAAATAAGCAACTCTCCATAACACATACTGATTAGTGACTTGTAGCAGGAAACCCAGCTTCCTTTTCGCACCACAAATTTTGGGAAACCTGTTTACTGATGGGGGGGCTGCATTTTGTGGGTGAGATCACCCTGAATTTTGTTCCGAGACCAGAGCTCCTCGCTTGCTTTCCCAATCTCTTCATTTACTCTTGAATCTGGGGAACGAAGATGGGAGGATGCGGGACTTCCTAGGAAGGAATTTCCGTGGTTTGGGTGCCACTGGTGAAAAGGCCCCGCCTTGCATAGTCACCCACTCAGGACCCATCCTCAAAGGAAAAGCTTAATAAACAGGGATGTACACGCAGAACATGGCAAGTCTTGTAAGTGAGCAGAGTAGTCAATGGCCCTCCTTTGTCTGACCTCTACTGTCTCCTCAAACAGGTGCACCTGAAGCCCCAGAGGTCATACCTAACAGCAGGACCCTCTCTGTGACTGAGGAGGATGCCTCAGAGGTGAGATGCTGCTATCCTTTTCTTAAAGACAAAAACAAAACCTTGGAAGTGCCCAAAAGCCTTCTTTCCTGACCTCAGGGCTTGGAATAGGTGCACGGACTATGGTGCCTTCACACCAAAGGGAGAGCACTCTGTACATGCTTAGAGGAATTCGCCCTTCTCCAGCCCCTTTCCTGGCGCTGAAGTGAAATGGCTCAAAGAGATGAGCTGGAAACAGCCTTGAGAGTGTTCCCTGCCCCGGGCAAAAAACCAAGAATCAAATATAAACTGTTAACGGACGCAAAAGAAAGAGGAGGATTTGCCCTGCCAGACTTGAAGTTGTATTATGAGGCAGCATGCCTTTGTTGGATAAGGGAATGGATCAAACTCAAAAATACAAAATTATTGGATTTAGAGGGATTCGATAATAGATTCGGGTGGCACACCTATCTAGGGCAAGAGAAGAAAAAGGGATATAAATCGTTTGAAAATCATATATTCCGGAAATCTTTAATCGAAGTTTGGGACAGATATAAAAACATACTAGAAAGGGGGGTACCACATTGGCTATCCCCACTAGAGGCAATGGGAGTCAAAAAAATTAACATGAGAAGTAATTGGATTACGTATGGAGATCTGGTGATAAAAGAAGGAGAGAAATGGAGAGTAAAACCATATGACCAAGTAAAAGAACATGTATTTGATTGGCTGCACTATCTTCAGATAAGTGATATGTTTAAAAAGGAGGTGAAAGAAAAAGGGTATAATGAAAAAGATTCGAGGTTTCAATCAGAAATTGTCAATAATGATTGTAAATTAATATCTAAAATGTACAAAATCTTATTGGAATGGCATACGATGGATGAGGAAGTCAAAGAGGTAATGATCCATTGGGCCAGAGACTTAGGGCATAGTATAGAGCTGGAAGAATGGCAAAAAATATGGAAGGAAAATCTGAAGTTCACCGCATGTATAACGTTGAAAGAAAATGCCATGAAAATGGTATACAGATGGTATATGACACCGGCTAAGTTGGGAAAAATATACAAAATCTGTAACAAATGTTGGAGATGTAGAGAGAAAGAGGGTACGTTCATGCACATGTGGTGGGAATGTAAGAAAGTGAAGGGATTCTGGGAAGCAATATATAATGAGTTAAAAAAAATGCTGAAGTACAGTTTTGTAAAGAAGCCAGAGACCTTCTTGTTAGGGATAACCAGAAAGGAAATAAAAAGAAGGGACTTTAAACTCTTCCAGTATGCAATTACAGCAGCAAGAACATTGATAGCTCAAAGGTGGAAACAAGAACAAGTACCGACCCTGGACGAATGGAGAAGCAAACTAACAGACTATGCGGAACTGGACAAACTAACTGGAAAAATCAGACTTCAAAGAGATCATAAGTTTTTGGAGGACTGGGGAAAATTTAGAGAGTATTTGAAAACTGTATGTGAGGAGAATATAACGCTAGTGTGTTTTAAAGAAGCTTTGTGAAATTTAAGGAAGATTGCAAGATGGTAAATGAGGATAAAAATTTTTTTATTTATAAGCGATACTTGAAATAAGGAATGTGTAGATAAGAGAATAACTTTGGATGATTCTCAGGGGAGTTGTGGGAAGTTCAACAAAATAGAATATGTGATGTGTAAAATGAAATGACTAGAGATTTTATGGAAAAATTCAATAAAAATTTAAAGCAAAAAAAAAAGAGAGTGTTCCCTGCCCCGTAATTATTATTATGAGGGAGGTTTTTAAGCCTTTCCTTGGGTGTATGGATCTAGCTTCCCTTCAAGTTGGAAGACCCCACAGTTCCATGGGAATTAAATATGGCATCAGTCTCAGATTTCAACTACTTCTCCATTTTGAGTTCCATTTTTAAAAAGAAAGGAAGCATCTTTCTAGCTCTCGTGCTTCAAACTGTGTGGGCTGTGCCTGGTGGATCTCAGGGGAGGCCACTGAATAAGATTTCCAGTTGTCCGGAGTCAGGCTTCTCTGCCCTAGATAGCTTTGTCTCTCCTCATAATCAGCAGAAAGAATAAATCATGCAAAACACTCACTGCGCTCGGCAGGAGATGGTGCTCCAGCCAACTGCCATCTCCTCAGGAGGTCCCCTCCAAGTGACGCAAAAATTGGGGCCTTCAGCCTTGCCAATATTATCTTATTGGTTCCTATTGAATGCCTTCCTTTTTCAACAAGACTTTTTAAAATAGAGATTATTTTAACCCATTCCGTATCCGTGTTGCAGCTAAAACTTTTAATATATATATATTTTTAATTGTAAATGGCTTCAGGATGTTTTATGCTGGGAAGTGATTAACAGGAAGTTAGGAAAGGTTGCAGAAACCAGCACAATTTAGCGTTTCCTCTTTTTTTTTGTACAGCCCCGCTGGCAAGGTGGGAGGCTGTGACTGTAAATAAGGCTAGCTAACATCCCAGGTGGGTGAACTCTCCTAAGGAGAGTGAGGGAGAGTGGGCATAGCAGGGCCTTACCAGTTATTCACCGCCTTTCCTTCCTCCCCAGATTGCGACGTGCACCAGCAAAAATGCCAACCCAGTGCCAACCATCAGCTGGTACAAAGATGGCCGCTCTCTGAACGCCTCCACAGAACGCAATAAGGGTAAGGAAGCTGTTTTTCTGCTGTTGTCTTTCCTTCGAGGACATGAGCTCTCTAGGTACATCCCCGACTGTTTCAGTCTTACATTCCTGACTGCCACTGAGCATCTTACGCCACCCTGAGGCTAATTTGGAATAAATGTAGACAAACAGGTGCTCTCTCTCATCCTTTCCTCAGGTTGCTCTGTGCTAGAGTGCTGCCTGTTGTTTAGATTTATTTTTCCCCCTCAAAATAGGCCTGCATCACTCAAAATAGGCCTCGATTCCTGCAGAACCTTAAAACCACCCATTAAAACAAAACCACCACACAGCTGAAAACCATATAGCTGCTAAATCCTTAAACTGCACTAAAGTTGCCATTTTATGGTACCTCGGTTTTTGAACGTCTATGTTGACAAACATTTTGGTTTTCGAACACGCCTCCAAAGTCGAACATGCCACGTGGCTTCCCCTTAGCGCAAGATTCTGAGGCCTAGCTGTTGGCTATTGAGTTTTCGGTTTTCAGATATTTCAGAACTCGAACGGTCTTCCGGATTACGTTTGAAACCCGAGGTACCACTGTATTTATTTCAAATCACCAAAATGATGCCTTGGAAAATATCCTTGTGCTGCCCCGTTTGTGGAGTTCTCGCCTCCCCATGTGCCCCTCGGCTGGCTGGCCTCACTCTGCATCACCGCTATACCTGTTTCCCCCCCCTAGAGCTGTATGTCGTGTCACGGACAGTGAAAGAGGCGTCAGGGCTGCTCTCTGTCTCCAGCACGCTGTACCTGCGAGTGAACAAATCTGACAAGTACTCCAGCTTCCTCTGCCACGTCAGCTACGCAATGCCGCACGGAAAAGTCGGCACCGCAGAGTCGGACCCCTTCCATCTCACGTTGCACTGTAAGTTACGTGGAAATATTGGGAGCTTCTGTGGAGCATTCATCCTGTATGGTTTCAGGTGTGGTGGCCTTCAGTAAGCATTTTCCATGTGACAAGTGTCAATGTTATCATTATTGCTTTATTAATTCCCTTCCAAACCACCGTTCTGAGGCGATTTACACATGTTCGTGTCCCTGCCCAAGTTTTAAGATCTACTTTGGAGGCCTGCCTTTGATCCTCAGCGAAGGCCCAGTGGATGGCTGCAGGGCCTTTTTGGTGGTGGCCCGCAGACTGCAAAATGCCCTCCAGCAGCTTTCCTCTTTGACCTGCTTTTAGAGGTACAGCCAGAAGGGGTCGGTGCCACCTGAGGGATAGCTCATTTGAGAGAACATGGGACTCTTAAGCTCAGGGTTGTGGGTTGGGTGAAAGATGCTGGGGGGGTGGGGGGGGGTGGGCTAGAGACGACTCTTGTGGTCCCTTCTATTTCTGTGCTTCTATGAAGACACCCGCCTTTTGGTTTTGCTTTCAAAATTATATTTGTTGCAAGCTGCACCGAGGTTCCTAGTCAGGTAGAAGGTGCAGGATTACAAATATTGTTCAGAATAAATCTGTTCCGGCAGGCTTTTAATTTGCTTTAATCCTGGCTGAGGGCTTTGATGTATGACCTGCTTCTAGGATCTTGCCGCGCATTGGTTCTAATTTTATTGTATCGTGGTCAGGCGTAGCTAGGTACTTAAAGGAATTGGTGCACGGTCCCATGGCTGAAATTCTCTCAGCCTAGCCAGCCTCACAGGGTCGTTATGGGGATTAAAGGAGGAGGAGAACCATATAAACTACCTTGATCTCCTTGGAGGAAAAGGTGGGGTTATAAATGCAAGAAATAAGCAATTAAATACCGTGCAGCAGGCTTACGAGATCTTTGGAACATGCAGGAGAAACTCTTCCACAGACGGCAGAGATCTACGAATAGTAGTAGTAGTAGTAATAATAATGGGACGCAATAAATATGGGACGCGGGTGGCGCTGTGGGTTAAACCACAGAGCCTAGGACTTGCCAATCAGAAGGTCGGCGGTTCGAATCCCCGTGACGGGGTGAGCTCCCGTTGCTCAGTCCCTGCTCCTGCCAACCTAGCAGTTCGAAAGCATGTAATGTGCAAGTAGATAAATAGGGACCGCTCCAGCGGGAAGGTAAACGGCATTTCCGTGCGCTGCTCTGGTTCGCCAGAAGCAGCTTAGTCATGATGGCCATGCTGTCTGTGGACAAATGCCGGCTCCCTCGGCCTATAGAGCGAGATGAGCGCCGCAACCCCAGAGTCGGTCACGACTGGACCTAATGGTCAGGGGTCCCTTTACCTTTACCTAGTAATAATAATACAGAAATAAATAGTCATGTGGTTTCAGTGTGACCCTCTTTCCTCAGACTTCACAGAAAACGTGCAGTTTTCTGTAGATTCCCCAGAGGTCATCAAGGAAGGGGATAATATCGAGTTGCAATGCCAGGCGGACGGCTACCCCCCACCGGAGTACGTCTTTTACAAAATAAAGGTACCATTGACCATGACGCATTATTCATGCCCAACCTCTTCCTTCCTGGGGGAGGCAGTGGGGGAGGGGTTTGAGACGATCTGCATGTTTTGGTTTTATCTGCTGATATGAGTTGGAAATGAAAGACGCGGGTGGCGCTGTGGGTTAAACCACAGAGCCTAGGACTTGCCGATCAGAAGGTCAGCGGTTCGAATCCCTGCGACAGGGTGAGCTCCCGTTGCTCGGTCCCTGCTCCTGCCAACCTAGCAGTTTGAAAGCACGTCAAAGTGCAAGTAGATAAATAGGTACCGCTCCGGCGGGAAGGTAAATGGTGTTTCCGTGAGCTGCTCTGGTTCGCCAGAAGCGGCTTAGTCATGCTGGCCACATGACCCGGAAGCTGTACACCGGCTCCCTCGGCCAATAAAGCGAGACGAGCGCCGCAACCCCAGAGTCGGCCACGACTGGACCTAATGGTCAGGGGTCCCTTTATCTTTACCTTTATGAGTTGAAAAACAAGGACATCCTTTCTGACAGCAGTGGGCATGAAGTCACTTCTCCAGGCCTCAGGCTGGGTGGTGGTTGCCATTGCTGTTTCACTCCAGACAAAACTGGCCCCCTGACCTTTTTTTGGGGGGGGACCTCCCCTTTTTGCCTTTTTGCAAATCCAGAGCGAAGACACACAGGTAGACCTGGGGTCCCGCGCCAACGGAATCCTGAGCCTTCCGCACGTGACCAAGCAGACGGCGGGACGTACCGGTGTCAGGTGCTGGACTTCGACAGCCCCAGTACCGTAGAGCTGGAGAAGGAGGTGACCATCTCTGTCAACTGTGAGTACCCCGTGGACTGCTGGGGGAGGGGCAACAGGGCTGGGAGACGGGGGGCGGGGCGGCAGTGAAACCTGTTAGCAAAGTCACTTCAATAGCACAGAGTCCAGAGAGAAAAGTAATCCGGACAACACTTTAGAGAAGAAGCAAAAATGGTGTAGAATTTGAGGAGAATGTACATAGCAGGGAGATGTACAACCAAACATACAGAGCAGAAACTTCCTCCAAACTACACAGCCAACCAGAGCACTTGCTGCTTCACGGAAGATCTTGCCAATCTGTCTGGTTGCCAAGCAACACCTCCGCATACGCACACGCCCTTCTTGGGTCATTGACTATCACTGAGAACGGAATTAACCCCTTAAGTTACAAACTGAATGATCCCTGCTGTTGCACTTCCATCAGAACCCTGAGTATTGTCAGCCTCTCTCACTCTTTGTCTCTCTCTCTCTTCCTCCCCCCACCCCTTCCCCCTGTTCCCACTTTAGATCTGGACCCCCTGGTTCTGAACCCAAACAAGACGGTGATGGCAAGATTGGGCGAAAACATCGAGCTGACCTGCTCTGGTACTGGCTCCCAGATGCCCACGTTGCTATGGAAGAAGGTGGGTGCAGGCACCACATGCTTACGAAATAACGCAGGAGCTACGATCTAGCTCAGTATCGCCATTTGTTGCGATTCAGCACTAAACATCAGGTTTTCCTGGGGGAAGGTGGGGGAGCAAGCGGAAGTTCGACTCATGTCCTTGCTGTCTTGCAAAGCACAAACTCCGCAGGTGCCCTGGGCGGGTTGTGATGGTTTCCACACTTCTCTCCCTATTGTCTTCATTCCTCTAGCAGCTTAACTCAGGCCTTATCTCGTCTTGCAGAACTGTGTCTTTCAATTTGCAACTTGCAAGGCTGAAACAGGGGCACTTTTCTCGAAAGGCACAGCTAGCAGAACAAAACCTAAAGCTGCACGCTCAAAGGAATTCTACGGTTCTCTTGCCCAGCTTCTCATAGTTGTAAATGGATACTGTGCAAGAGAACCACCCTGTTGGGTAGCAGACTGTCCTGCTGGTCATAAGGGTGGAAATGGTAGGCAGTCAGAAGGGATGAATCTCCAAATACCAGAGTCTTTTCAAAAGGCACCCTGCCTGTGGCTTATCAGACCTGTTGCGACAACACTGAGGGATAGAAACTTGCATTTTAAGTGTAAGACTAGAGATGCTTGGAAAATTCATCTGGCGGTGGGTGGTGAGTCTAGGAGCAATCTCTCCCCCTGGTTTGTTTTTAATTGTACTTCGCCTTGTAGTTATTTATTTCATAAAATTTATATACCGCCTGATTGTGGAAAAAGCCTCAAAAGCCTTTTACAAAAAATTGATAAACCTTATGACTAAAAGATTTGCAGCCGTAATTTAAAACATGCAGAAAGTTTAAACCGCAGTAGAATAGAATGAAACAAATCAAAACTCCTACAAACTTTCTGGGTAGGCTTGTCTAAATATGAATGTCTTCCGAAAATCCTGCCCATTCTCAAAGGCTCGAGGCAGGTGACCCCACTTTCGGAAGTAATGATGATGGTTTAAGGTCATTTACGTCTGGCCTTTTTCCCAAGTTGGGGTTCAAGGTATGGCTTACAGTGTTTAAAAAGGATGAGGCAACAAACTAGCTAAAAACAATCCTTAAAATGCATCAGAAGACATTTAGGACCAGCAGTTAAGATCCACTTTGCCTGGACAGCAGCTGAGTGAGCAGATCCCATCTTCTGCTCTGTTTCCTGAGCAGGGAGGTCTCAGGCTGCCGGATGACAAAGAGGGAGCTGGGCTAGCCTCTCTTGGGGGGGAATTCCACCATTCAGACGCAGTCTCTTGTTTTTCCTCCCCCATCCCCCTGCAGGGAAAGACTAAGGTGGGAGACGGCGAGACTTTGCCCCTGAGTTCACTGAGCTACGACATGGCCGGCGGATACACCTGTGAAGCCTCTGTGCCCAGCATACCTGGGCTGCAGCGGACCCAGACGGTGGAAGTCGTCGTGGAAGGTAGGCTGGTTGGGGGGCGGCGGAAGCGATGAAAAGAATTGCCCTGCAGAATCAGGCCGATGGCCCATAATGCTCCAGCATCCTTTTCTCACAGTGGAGACAACCTGATGCCCAAGGGAAAGCCTCAGAACAGGACATGTTATTTATCTGTCTTGATACATTCCTCCAAGGCGTTGTTGTAATTATTATGATGAATTAATTAAATTTGTAAACCGCCCTTCATCCGTAGGGCTCAGGGCAGTTCACAACATAAAAATACAAGACAAAAGCACAAAATACAGAATAAAAACAACAAACCAATAACCTCCACCCCCTCTCACAAACACGTTTAAAAGGGTGTCAGACGTTAATTAGCTGAAGGCCTGGTTGGAGACGGACATTTTTGCCTGGCGCCTATAATGAAGGAGCCAGGCGGACCTCCCTGGGGAGTGCATGACACAAACAGGGAGCCACCACAGAAAAGGCCCGTTGTCATCTTGCCACCCTCCAGACCTTTAGTGGAGGAGACAGACGAGGAAGGGCCTCAGAGGAAGGTCACAGGGTCCAGGGCAGTTCATGTGGAAAGAGGCAGTCCTGGAGGTATTGTGGTCCTGAGCCGTTCAAGGTGGCATGCATGGTTTCCCCCCCCACAATAACCCTGTGAGGTAGGTTTGCCTGAGAGTCAGAGGCGGACGCCAGGCCACACGGTGAACTTGAATCCTTCCTTCCCAGTTTCTATTCCAACTCTCATCCATTGCCCTTTTAAAAGTGTTGTGGGAGAGGGGGTGTTATTTGGTTTGTTGCTGTTCATATTTTTACAGCATACTTTGTGGTTTTATGTTGTAATATTACGTCGTTAACTGCCCTGAGATCTGCAGATGAAGGGCGGCATACAAATTTAATAAACATTAATAATATCTACCACCGCAACACGTATTGCACGAGTGACACAGTCTTCCAGTCACTGGCATTTGGGCGTTGGTTGGCTGCTTGGGATAGGCTTGGGCCTACGGCTGCCTCTCAGCCCAGCCTACCTCAAAGGGTTGCCGTGGCGATAAAAATGGGAGCTCCTTGGAGAAAAGGCCAAGTTTAAGCAAATCTTGGACACGAATGATTCTGTGAAAGGGGGACGGGGGACAAGGTTTGCTGTTGGGATTCCTTCCTTCCTTCCTTAGCAACTTTCTAGTCCCTAAGACTATGAAGACCAGCTTGAAGGTGTATAGGCCATATCAGAAGCTCACTAGAATACATAGATTGATATACAGTGGTACCTCGGGTTACAGATGCTTCCGGTTACAGACTCCGCTTACCCAGAAATATTACATCGGGTTAAGAACTTTGCTTCAGGATGAGAACAGAAACTGTGCGGCAGCAGCAGGAAGCCCCATTAGCTAAAGCGGTGCTTCAGGTTAAGAACAGTTTCAGGTTAAGAACGGACCTCCGGAACGAATTAAGTACGTAACCAGAGGTACCACTGGAATTCATTTAGTCAGTCATGGAGAGAGGCTGGTTGGCATTTTTTGTGCGTGTTGCAGAATCCATCCTTTTCCTCGGCCCAGAACTTTAAAGCCTTTGGGGGGCAGGGTTCATGTGCCCCCTCCTGGTTGTCATGTCCTGACTTCCTCCTCCTTCCCGAAAACAGGAACCCCGCAAGTGGAGCGGCCCCAGTCCACACACCATTACCAGAGCCTGGGCCAGAAGCTGACCTTTACCTGCGCTGCTTTCGGCTACCCTGAGCCAGAGATCAAGTGGAGCGTCACTGGGGAAGAGGTGAGTCCAGCGGCGAAGAACTTTGTCAGGGAAACGCAGGGGACCGGCTGGTGAGGATTGTGGAGCAATTGTAGCACCCTACAGGTGCGCTGGGGACGCAGGTGGTGCTGTGGGTTAAACCACAGAGCTAGGACTTGCCGATCAGAAGGTCTGCGGTTTGAATCCCCGTGACGGGGTGAGCTCCCGTTGCTCGGTCCCTGCTCCTGCCAACCTAGCAGTTCGAAAGCACGTCAAAGTGCAAGTAGATAAATAGGTACCGCTCTGGCGGGAAGGTAAACGGCATTTCCGTGCGCTGCTCTGGTTCGCCAGAAGCGGCTTAGTCATGCTGGCCACATGACCCGGAAGCTGTACGCCGGCTCCCTTGGCCAATAAAGCGAGATGAGCGCTGCAACCCCAGGGTCGTTCACGGCTGGACCTAATGGTCAGGGGTCCCTTTACCTTTACCTTACAGGGACGCTGGACCTTCCCCTTCACCCTACTCTGGGCCTGAGGGTACAGAGGTTTGCAGAGTGTGTTTCCACTGGATTTCTTGGGAGCTGGTCGGGTCTTTCTCAAATGAGGCCAGTGGTGGCAGATCAGCTTCCCTCAAGGGGTGTGTGTGTGTTGGGTCTTTTCTTTTGATTCTGGGGAGCAGACGATTTGCTGCCTTAGGCCAGAGGGCTTTGTTCCCACTTGGCCGGCAGCGCAGCGTGCAGCTCACCCCACAGATCACAAGGAGACCTGACAGGCCTGCTTGGGGGCCCCCTATTCAGCACCTGTGCCCCAAAACGAACCCAGATAATCCCCTGCAAGGTCCTGGAGCTGAAAAGCAGGCTTGCAAGGGGTTCATTAGTGGGCGAGTCAGCTTCCGCAGGATTCCCTGCTGGAAGATGGTTCGCAAACCGCTGGTTTTAGGGGCCCTTCTCTCCCCCACACCCTTGCCTGCTGATACCCAGCTGCTCTCAAGCTGTCAGGCTGGGGGAAGCGGACTCCCTGGGTGGCCTCTTTGTGCGCCGAGATGAACGGAGGGAGCGGGCAGGGGCTGCGAGAAGAAGCCCAAGGTCACGAGTAGACACAGAAGAGCTGTCTCTGCCGTGACTTTGCCCCAGTCCGCCCCCTCACCACCAACACGCAAGGCACACTGGGAATTGTAGTCTAGAGCTGAGAATTCTGCCTTCGTTCTGTGAGGATTTCCATCTGTCCATCTGACTGGGTTGCTCCAGCCTATACAAAAACATAATGAAACGTCAAACGTTAAAAACTCCCCTATACAGTCATACCACGTTACGTCCGCTTCATGTTACGTTCTTTCAGGTTACATCCCGCGGCGACCCTGAAGTACCAGAAAGGGTTACTTCCAGGTTTTGTCACTCGCGCATGCGCAGACGCGCAAAATGACATCACGTGCATGCGCAGAAGTGGCGAATTGCAACCCGCGCGTGCACAGACGCACCGCTGCAGGTTGCGCTCTTTTCATGTTGCGAACAGGCCTCCAGAACGGATCCCGTTTGCAACCAGAGGTACCACTGTACAGGGCTGCCTTCAGATGTCTTCCATAGCTTGTATAATTATCTTATAGTTATGGAGGTTTGGGGACACATATTGGCTAAAGTAAGCTGTAGTTCTGCCCTTGGGCATCCTTGCAACAACCTTGTTAGGTAGGTCGTTATTTGTAATGAGGTCGGGTTTGGCATTGCACACGTTAACCTGGTTCTCAGCTCAGTCTCTTGACCCCCTACTCTGCAGCAGCATTCTTGACTGCTTTCGTTGTAGCTCCTGCATGGAGTTGGGCCTCTGGCATCCCAACCCACCTGTCCAGGTAGAAACAAAGGTGAATCAGGTGCGAGGCAGAGAGCTGGGGATGGAGAGAGACTCCGTCCCATGCGAAATGCTGCCATTCTTTGTTTCTCTCTTCCCAGCCGTCTGCGAGGACCTTTGGCAACAGAGTCGTCAGCGAATTGTCGGTGGAGGTGACCCCTGAACTGGCCCAGAACGGGGTCACGTGCTGGGCAGAGAATGAGCACGGCAAGGCCGAACAGACGTTCCTGTTACAGATGGGTGAGTGTCCACAAAGGGAAGTGCAGGACCTTTCACCCTTTCGCTGCAGACGCCTCTGCTCATCTTTGTTCGCAGATGACTTGTAGTAAATAGTCCAAGCAGCAGCATAAACCAGGGTCCGAATTAAGCCGAATGTTCACTGCACAATTGCAATTTAACCTGCGTGGTTTTTAAAATTTAAGTGGCAGCGGTAATGGTTGGGGGAAGAGCAAGATTGCCTCCCCAAATGCTCACCACGGCCTTCTCCTCACTCCAAACTGCTGTTGTTGTTGTTTAGTCATTTAGTCGTGTCCGACTCTTCGTGACCCTCTGGACCAGAGCACGCCAGGCACTTCTGTCTTCCACTACCTCCCGCAGTTTGGTCAGACTCATGTTTGTAGCTTCGAGAACACTATCCAACCATCTCGTCCTCTGTCGTCCCCTTCTCCTTGTGCCCTCCATCTTTCCCAACATCAGGGTCTTTTCCAGGGAGTCTTCTCTTCTCATGAGATGGCCAAAGTATTGGAGCCTCAGCTTCACAATCTGTCCTTCCAGTGAGCACTCAGGGCTGATTTCCTTCAGAATGGAGAGGTTTGATCTTCTTGCAGTCCATGGGACTCTCAAGAGTCTCCTCCAGCACCAGAATTCAAAAGCATCCATTCTTCGGCGATCAGCCTTGTTGATGGTCCAGCTCTCACTACTGGGAAAACCATAGCTTTTACAATACAGACCTTTGTCAGCAAGGTGATGTCTCTGCTTTTTAAGATGCTGTCTAGGTTTGTCCTGCTACCTACCCAGAAATCACAGGATTGTAGAAGGGACCCCAATGCAGGAGTCTCAACTAAAGAATCCATGATCAAAGTCTTCTCCCTCCCACATGCTGCTGTCCCAATCCTGACAGCCGCTACTGACATCTTTAAAAGCTGGGCATGTTAAATTGCTGTCGTGCAATTAATTACATGCTCAGTTTGGCTCTGGCTTACATTGGTTTTGGGGATGCCCAAACCCTTCAGATGAGTGGAGTTTTTTGGCCCAGGTGTGGCGCTTAGTCATTTGCAGCGCTGAGGCTGCTTTCTTCCCCCCCCCCCCCGGGCTGGGCAGGTGTAGACAGGTTGGCAGGGAAAGGGAGCAGATGGCAGTGGTTAGACAACCACAGACATCGGTTGAGGCCACTGCAAGGGGTGTTTCCACCCCCTTTCAGTAGGTCTGCCTCTCGTTCTAATTTCCTGGCATTAAAGCTGTTGACAAATTCTTAATCTTTGCATTTAAACCAGTTGTGGGGAACCTGGTGTGTGACGATGGGCCTCTCTGTGAAAGCGTGCTCTTGGCATGCCTTGATCCAGGACCAGAAAGGGATTTGCATTGAACCTGCTGCTAAAACTGAGAGTTCCCTCTTCGTATTAGCCGGGAGTTCAATGTGCACGCCTCCCCGATTCTGGAAGTAGCTGCGCTCCCAATGCCCAATCGCCAGTTTAAAAACCGAAGCCGTCAAGTGCACAGCCTTGCGGGTAAACTGGTCCCAAGCTGATACGTGGGATAACCTTGTGAGGAGGGGTGTTGCAATTTCTGTGCAGGTTCCCTATCTTTGGGGGGGGGCGTTTGTGCGCAGGGGTTGTGGACGTTAGGGTTTGACTTGACTCCTAGACAAACCTTCCCCAATCTAGCACGCTCCAACGTTTTGGACTACAAATCCCTAGTCCAAGACCATTGGGGGGGGCACCAGGTTGGGAAATGACCTGAGGAGACTTTCCCATGGCTGCGTGAACTCTGCACAACGTCACAGCCCAAAAGTGTGCGCTTAGGAAGGCTCGGTTCTGCCACAAACTTTAATAATAATAATAATTTATTATTTGTACCCCGCCCATCTGGCTGGGTTTCCCCAGCCACTATGGGCGGCTTCCACAGAGACCAAAAATACACTCAAATGTCACACATTAAATTAAAAACCTCCCTGAACAGGGCTGCCTTAAGATGTCTTCTGAATGTTAGGTAGTTGTTTATTGCTTTGACACCTGATGGGAGGGTGTTCCACAGGGCGGGCACCACTACCGAGAAGGCCCTCTGCCTGGTTCCTTGTAGCTTTGCTTCTCGCAGTGAGGGAACCGCCAGAAGGCCCTCGGCGCTGGACCTCAGCGTCTGGGCAGAATGATGGGGGTGGAGACGCTCCTTCAGGTATACTGGGCCAAGGCCCTTTAGGCCTTCTTGCAAGGTGTGTGTTTACTTATGCGAAAACATGCCTAGGTCCTTCCTCTGATGCCACGGATGGGGCAATACGCCTCATTCCTGGAGCAACAGAAATCGTACTCAGCTTCCTCCTCCTCCCCCAGCATTGAAGATTTCGCCATACGTTGCCTGTATTCTTTCAACAGCCATCTCTCCTCCCCCCACCCCCACCTTCCCAAAAAGGGAACATAACAAAGGTGCTTGTTTTTCTTTAACTGCCCAACAAGCCCCTCAGAACGTAAAAAAACGTACAAAGCCGTTTCACAACGACACAGGGGCACTGCAGAAAGGGAGAGCCTCTCTTGTGAAATCCAAGCACTAGTGGGCCATGCAGTTACAGAATTGTAGAGTTGAGACCCCGAGGGTCATCTAGTCCAACCCCTGCGATGCAGGAATCTCAACTAAAGCATCCATGACAGTTGCTTAAAAACCTTCAGGGAAGGAGAGCCCACAACCTGTTGTGGGAGTCTGTTCCACTGCCGAACAGCTCTTACCATCAGAAAGTTCTTCCTGATGTTTAGTCGGAATCTCCTTCCTTGTGACTTGAATCCATTGGTTTGAGTCTTACCCTCCGGAGAAGGAGAAAACAAGCTTGCTCCATCTTTCATGAGATGTTCCATTGAGATATTTGAAGATGGGTGTCCTATCTCCTCTCAGCCTCCTCTTTCCTGGGCTAAACATACCCAGCTCCTTCAACCATTCCTCATCAGGCCTGGTTTCCAGACCCTTGATCATCTTAGTCGCCCTCCTCTGCACACCTTCCAGCTTGTCAATATCCTCCTTGAAAGACAAAATTAGCATCTTTCTGTATGCAACAACAGCAGCGAGAACGTTGGTAGCCAGTCATTGGAAAGGAAATTATATCCCAACAAAAGGGGAATGGTTAAGTAAACTATGTGAGTACCTGGAGTTAGCAAAATTGACGGATTTAATAAGGCATAAATCCAAAAATTATAATTCAGAAACAATGGGGATGCTTAAATGAATATTTATACAAGCAGGGCTCAAATACGAAAGTTTGGTTGTGCCTAGACTAACCTTGTGAAGAATATAGAGAACAGAAAGATTTGACTGATTATGAAATAATCTAAGGAGGGGAAATGATTGAAGAACAGATGTAAAGGCGAGCAAGATAATTAAGAGACGTGCGGTGAATGCAGTGGAAGTCTTCTATAATATTTTAACTAAGATTTATATATTATAATGTCTGAAGCATGAATTTGGTAATATTATTGGTTATGAAAAGTATTTTTTTTTCTTTTTAGTTTGCATTTTGGAAAACATGTATATAAACGTGTTTACAGTGTTATGTATCGTTCTTTCTTTTTTCTTTTCTTTTCTTGTAAAATTCAGTAAATATATATATATATATCTCCTCCTTAAATTGTGGTGCCCAGAACCGGATGTGGGAGTCTTTTGGTCCTCTGAATGATGAAAGGGATAAGGGGAAGTAGGGATTTGGGTGCAGACTGAGCGACTGCAGACCGCAGCAAGAGTTCACCCTGTACCTTTGCTAACGTACCTGTCTCTCTTTCCAAGCAGTTGCGCCGACGACATCTGCCTCTCCTGTGCCAGCAGGTAAGTCCCTCTTTGCCTCCCTCCTTCTCCATTCTCTTCCCGCCCCGCTGCCCCCAGACTCTGCACTGCTATTACAGTGGGTGGGCTTGGTGGGCAGTGACAGCACAGCTTAGCTGGGTGGGCTTGCTGACAGTTCAGGTGGCTAACTGCTTTTTCCTTCTCATGCATGCTGCCTCAGGGAACCCCGAGCTCCGGACAGGTGGGTGTTTGAGGATGAGAAGGCAGGCCATATGGAAAGGGTAGAGACAGGGCCTTTTTGGTGGCAGCTCCCTGTATGCGGAACTCCCTGCCCCAAGAAATCGGGTTGCCTTCTTCTTTATTTGCATTCAGCCAAATAAAGGAAACAGCCTTAAAAATAATAACAATTCCCTTTAAACAAGCTTTCGAGTCTGTTGCTGCTTAAAGGTATCAATTGTGTCTGCTGGTCTCTGCGGTTTGTCACCTTTTCGCTGTCGTTTTTAAGCTTGATAATTTATGTCTTAACAGTTGGGTCCCTTTGGCTTTTCTGCTTGCTTTGATACTCACAAGTCTCTTTGAGCAACTGCTCTGTGAAGGGGAAATAGTGGAGTATAATCCTTTTGGGGGGGTTGGGGGAGAAGCATAATAATAATAATAATAATAATAATAATAATAGGTATTCTGGGTTTGACTTATTTCCACTTCTCCCTCCCCACGCGAGGGGGAAAACAGGCGAAATAAAAGAGGGAAGCCTTTCATGGAATCTCTTTCCACCGCAGAAAGATCGGAATAGATTAATTTCCCAGATGTTTTTGCTTGCAGGTTTCTTTTGCTTTCAAGTGGAATAAGGTCAAGGAAGGTTCATTGTGTGTAATTTCGGAGCTCAGAAATGCTATCCAAGTTTGAAGTAGTACATGATTCACTTACCACAGTTTATTTCTCACTGAGGTTTTGGGTTTTATTGGTTTTTTTAAAAAAATTCAAGATTTCAATGTGTGTGTGTGTGTGTGTGTGTAAAACAAACCACATGAATAGGTGTGGCCTTGTGCTGTTGGTGCCCTGTGGCTGAAACTACACCGTGGAGCGAGTTTTTCCTCAGGTTTGAGTCCCTAGCTGTTGTTGGACTACAACTCCCATCATCCCTACCTAGCAGGGGTCAGGGATGATGGGAGTTGTAGTCCAACAGCAGCTTAAGAACCTGAGTTTGAGAATGCGGCTAGACCTATAAAAACTGCCTTTGGCCTCCTCTTCCTCCTGCACTCCAGCCCAAATTCTGAGAATTGTGGTTTTGCCCCACCTCCTTCAGAATAACATTTCCCATGGTTCCCTGGGGAAGATCCAGAACAGATAAAAATAAAGCACCTCTCCACGCAGCACGGAGTTAAACTCTGGAACTCGCTGCCTCAGGAGCCAACCAATTTGGATGGCTTTAAGAGGCAAATTCATGGGGAGGAGAAAGGCTACTAGCCGCAATGGCTATGCCCTGCCTCCACAGTAAGATTCCTCATAGATTTGCTGCAAAACGTAGTTTTTATGGTGTTTCCTGTTTTAATGTTGTACAACGCCCTGATACATTATAAAATGGTGGTGTTGAAATAAATAAATAAGCAAGAGATCTACCAGCAGATCCTGATCAACATTTATTCATTCATTCATTCATTCATTCCCTGACCAACCTACTGACCTGCTTTAAATTGCCAGAACACAAAGTACCTGTTGGAATAGTAAGTGAGGAACAATTGACTGTAAGCCTCCTGCAACTTTACGAGAAGTCATGGGGTCCTTCAAAATGGCCCTCCTGTTCGGCATTACAATGGTGCCCCGCAAGACGAACGTCTCGCAAGACGGAAAACCCGCCAGACGAAAGGGTTTTCCGTTTTGGAGGCGCTTCGCAAAACGAATTTCCCTATGGGGTTGCTTCGCAAGATGAAAAAATCTTGCGCGTCCCCGCGGGTTTTTTTTCGCTCCCCCCCTTTTCCTAAGCCGCTAAGCCGCCTATCAGCTGTTCCGCTGATAACCCGCTTAACAGCTGATCGCGAAAAGCCGCTAGACCGCTGTAGCGCTAATCCGCTAAGCTGTCAATGGGGTTGCTTCGCAAGACGAAAAAACTGCTAGACGAAGAGAATCGTGGAACGGATTATTTTCGTCTTGCGAGGCACCACTGTAGTAGTGATCAGAACTACAGATGATCACACGTGTGTGTGTGTGTGTGTGTGTGTGTGTGTGTGTGTGATTTTATCTAATGAGTATTTAGTTTAAATGGCCGTTACAATTATCAGGAATGCAATTTGCTGTTCTCGTTACAAGCTGAACAACATTGTTGTTGATCTTATTAATGATACAGTGGTACCTCAGATTACATACGCTTCAGGTTACAGACTCCGCTAACCCAGAAATAGTACCTCGGGTTAAGAACTTTGCTTCAGGATGAGAACAGAAATCGCGCGGCAGCAGCGGGAGGCCCCGTTAGCTAAAGTGGTTCTTCAGGTTAAGAACAGTTTCAGGTTAAGAACGGACCTCCGGAACAAATTAAGTACTTAACCCGAGGTACCACTGTAATATGTATTCCATTTATACGTATTATAACAGTAAATACATCCTTACATAGCAGCAAACAATAAATTAAAATGTTATGGAACAATACTGTTATTGTGGCACGTTTAACAATAGACGTTTCTCTGGTGAACCGCTCTGTGATCTTGCGATGCAGGGCTGCGTATAAGTCTAATAAATAATAACAACCACAACGCTTTAAAAGCAACAACAAAGTTTTTATCTGCAGCAATGAACAAAAATGTGGGTAGAAAAATGGCCCCGCTGTTCAGGTGGTCCTTCCCAATCTTTGCCAGACAGAAGCAGGCTACAGGCAAGGAGGCTGGGGAAGGATCTAGTGTCTGCAGGGCCTCAGCCTCCCTTCACTTTTTCTGCTTCCTTCCCTCCAACAGTGGACGGGGAACAGAGCCAGGGCGGCAGCACCATCGCCGTGATTGCCGTGTGCGTCTGCGTCTTGCTCCTTCTCCTCATCGTGGGCTTCTTCTACTTCATGCAGCGCCGCGGCCAGCTGCCCTGCGGCGGAGGCGAGAAGAGATCTTTGTGAGTAATAATAATAATAATAAATTTTACTTATACCCTGCCCTCAGGGCGGCTAACACCAATAAATCACAGTAAAAACATAATAGGGGGGGAAATACAATTTAAAATGCAGCCTCATTTTAAAAGATAAATCAAGACCATAAGGGGAGGGAAACATAAGGGTCAGACTGAGTCCAAACCAAAGGCCAGGCGGAACAGCTCTGTCTTTCAGGCCCTGCGGAAAGATGTCAAGTCCCGCAGAGACCTAGTCCATTGTGACAGAGCGTTCCACCAAGTAGGGGCCAGTACTGAAAAGGCCCTGGCCCTAGTTGAGACCAATCTAGCCACCTTGCGACCTGGGACCTCCAAAATGTTGTCATTTGTGGACCTTAAGGTCCTCCGCGGGGCATACCACGCTCCATACCCGTAAGGCCTCGTGGGCTGCTCAAACTGCATGTATCCTACAGCCCCTTCTGCCTCTGCGGGGCTCAGCACCAATGGCAACTAGCCACAAGGCCTTCAGTGTCTAGTAGCAGGGCCGGCCCATCTATGGTGACCGGCTCAGGCGGCAGGATCCACAGAGGCAATGACACGCCAAGCGTTCTGGCCTCCGGTGCTCCTCATCTGCCATTGTTTGTGCCTTAGTTACACACATGCATTGAGTGGTGTCTGGCAAACCCCTCTGCTGCTCCTTATTTTGTGCGTTGTGTGAAGTGCTGGGGAGGAGGAGGTTAAAGACCTCTGCCTTTCTTCCATCATGGCTGATCAGGGGAAGGGGAGAAGGCATATGCTACAGCCCTTCACTCTTGCTAAGTCCAAACGGTGCCACACTTTTTAAAAAAAACCTACCTGCCAGCTCACCTAGTTTTTAGAGGAGGAAAACAAGGGGGGGGGAAATATTCTGAACGGAACAGTGGATATATGATTTTTGTGGTTCATGCTGTGGCCACAGACATGATATGTGATTTGACGGTGAGTTTGGGGTGACCCAGTGCAAAAATCCTGAGGATTCATGTGCTTTTACCTCCTCCCTCCCAGGCAGCCTCCTTTATCTCTAGAGTCCCTTATCTCCCTCCCCGATCGCTTGCCAATCAGCTGCTCAGCTGCTTCCTTTCAACATTCCCTTCCCTCTTGTTTGCCTTAGTGTCTTTTCCTTAGCTGGAGCAGTTTTTTGCTCCTCCTTTTCTTCTAATTTCTCTCCTCATTGCTTGTTTTTGTATTCCTGTCTCCTCTCCTTGCAAGTTCGCTGTCTTTACCTTCCCACTCCCAGGCAGCCTCCTTTATCGCTAGAGTCCCTTATCTCCCTCCAATCGCTTGCCGATCAGCTGCTCAGCAGCTTTGCTTCAACACCCCCTTCCCACTTTCTAAAAAAAAAAAAAAAGCACGACCTGCTTTTTGCCCCTGGGCGATTCGGCTCCAGGGACCACACATTCGCTCCATAAGACGCACAGACATTTCCCCTTACTTTTTAGGAGGAAAAAAGTGTGTCTTATGGAGTGAAAAATACGGTAAATGTAGACGAACCAGTGGCCTCTGGTTCCGTATATGTGGGTGTTTTGTTGGCATCTGTCTGTCTCGAGAGACAACAGAGGGGTCCTTCGGGGGTGGCATAAAAGCATTGCATTAGCAGCACCCAAGTGACCTCTCCAGGGTGCAAGCCTGGGCATCGTTCATGGAGGTCCTGGGCTGCCCCGATGATATGAACACCACACACCCCTCAGCCTCGCTGATGTGGTCCAAAGGAAAGCAGAGCAAGATGCTGGGCACCAGCTGAGCTGCAGGAGTTGCCAGAAGGAGGCGTACAAGACTCCATCCAACCGCCTTAAGGTTTCCACTCCGGATTACTGCTTAGCCCTTTCTTAGCCAGTGTGGTGTAGTGGTTAAGAGCGGTAGACTCGTAATCTGGTGAACTGGGTTCGTTTCCCTGCCCCTCCACATGCAGCTGCTGGGTGACCTTGGGCCAGTCACACTTCTTTGAAGTCTCTCAGCCTCACTCACCTCACAGAGTGTTTGTTATGGGGGAGGAAGGGAAAGGAGATTGTTAGCCACTTTGAGACTCCTTAAGGGGAGTGAAAGGCGGGATATCAAGTCCAAACTCCACCACCACCTCCTCCTCCTCCTCCTCTTCTTCTTTTTCTTTGTCCAAACTCCCCCTCTTCCTTCTTCTTCTTCTTCTTCTTCTCCTCCTCCTCTTCCTCCTCCTCCTGAAGATATCCTGCAAGACAGTGGAGGTTTAGGATCAGAGTTTCCCTTTCCTAGATAGATAGATAGATAGATAGATAGATAGATAGATAGATGATAGATATAGATAGATAGATAGATGATAGATAGATAGATAGATAGATAGATGATAGATAGATAGATAGATAGATAGATAGATAGATAGATAGATAGATGATAGATAGATAGATGATAGATGATAGATAGATAGATAGATGATAGATAGATAGATAGATAGATAGATAGATAGATAGATAGATAGATAGATGATAGATGATAGATAGATGATAGATAGATAGATAGATAGATAGATAGATAGATAGATAGATAGATATCCCCCCTTATTATATGTAAATCTTCGCCAGCTTTCCCTGGGCTGCAGAGCCATAAATGGATGAAGGACTGGGGAGTTGTGCCGGGTGGGGTGGGTTCGGGGAGAGGCTGGACGTAACCGTACCCTGTTGGCTTTCTTGGCCACCTGTTCCCGGAATGCGGCGCTCAGATATATCTGTTTCCTCCTCTCACCAGGACCCCCAAGGAAGGGAACCCTGACGACACTGTGGTGGAGATGAAGACGGACAAACGGAACGAGCAGACGGGGCTCTTGAGCCCTGGGGGCGGCGGTGGCGGTGGGGCAAACGAGGTGAGGAACGGAGGAGAAGGCGGAAGGCGGTAACCCTGCTCTCACTGAGCTTGGGGCAAGGGATGCTCCCTCTTTCTTGAGGGTGCCAGGAATCGTAGCTCCACAAAGGCAGTTTCCCACTCCTTTTGCAGACCTGGGGCAAAGAAGAAGCGTTTCTGGGGCCTGCTTTGAGGAACAGGGCTGCGTACATCTATTTAAAGCACATTTAAAACTTTGAGCCCCTAACACAAAGGTGGGGTGAGGGGTGGTGGATGGTGATGGGGAAAGGAATTATCTGCGGGATTGAGTGTAGGTATATTTGAACATTTTTAAGGATTGTATGAAATGTATGTTTGTATATTCACAATATGTGTGTACTAATGCTGAATTGAGGGACGCGGGTGGCGCTGTGGGTAAAACCTCAGTGCCTAGGACTTGCCGATCACATGGTCGGCAGTTCGAATCCCTGCGGCGGGGTGCGCTCCCGTCGTTCGGTCCCAGCGCCTGCCAACCTAGCAGTTCGAAAGCACCTCCGGGTGCAAGTAGATAAATAGGGGCCGCTTACCAGCGGGAAGGTAAACGGCGTTCCGTGTGCTGTGCTGGCTCGCCAGATGCAGCTTGTCACGCTGGCCACGTGACCCGGAAGTGTCCTCGGACAGCGCTGGCTCCCGGCCTCTAGAGTGAGATGAGCGCACAACCCTAGAGTCTGGCAAGACTGGCCCGAACGGGCAGGGGTACCTTTACCTTTACCTTTTAATGCTGAATTATTTTAACAATAAAAACTTTTCAAAAAACAAAACAAAAACTTTGAGCCCCGCGTTGGGCAAAAGATTCCTGCATTGCAGAGGCTTGGGCTAGTTTGCCCTGAGGGGGTCTCTTCCAGCTCTGTGATTCCATGAAAACATATTCTGCCCCCCGAGAATCCTGGAAACGGTGGTTTGCTACTGGGAATTGTAACAAGGGCTAAGCTACCGTTTCCAGGATTTCCTTGGTGCGGGGATGTGCTTTCAAACAGCCCGTGTCTCTGTGGCAGGACTGCAATGGGTCCCCTAGGGAGAAGGCTGGGGGGGGGTGGAGCTGAGGGGAAAGTCTGGGGCGCAGACTCCCTGTTTCATTCTCCCTCTCTTTCCAATCCTGTCTCCCTGCAGTGCTGAGAGCAAGCCTGGAGTTGCCTTCTTCCGGAGGATCTGCCTCTTGCCTGCTCTGCACCACACAAACCACGGGGCAAAGAGGACGCCAGGGCTGGACTGTGCGAGGGGAACCCGGTCCCTCCGGGGCCCTTCCTTCTCCAAGGGCAGGGGAGCATCCTTCCTTGCGTCTGGACATTTTCTTTTTTTGTGTGCAAATGGGGTGAGGTGAGGGGGTTGTGCTGCCGCTACTACTTCTTCCTCCTTGAAACGCCTGATTGTTATTATTGTTCTTGTAATTATTTTTGAAGAAACTGACACTTGCCCGGACCCCTCTGGGGTGTGTAGACGCGCCAGCGACACACAGGCTCCTGTCTCTCCACACACCGGTATGCCTCTTGCTGACTTGAGGACCTGAACTAAGTCCACACGTGCACCCACGTCCTGAACACGGAAACACGGCCTTGGAAGAAAATTCACACAAGTTGACTGGCCCCTTTCTGCTGGCACACGACTGTTAGCCACTTGTGGTCTGAAAGGACCCGCTTTTTGTAAACCTTCCCACCCCCCACCCCGTCCTGCTTAGTCGCTTGGAGGTGATTCTCGCTCGCCATAGGTGACCAGGCTAGCAGTGTCTGTCTTTCGCCGTTGGGCAAAGACATGTGGACACCTATATTCCTGCAAACACTTCTTTATCCTCCACGTGAAGCATGCAATGTGAGTGAACACATACAGGCACACCCTTGTTACGCCGCGCATCCACACCGCCACACCCGTTGAGCGTGCTTGTCGGGAAGTCGTGCAAAGACTTGCAAAGTTGACATGCTCCCCACATGCTTGTGAATGTGTTCCGTCCATACATTAACATGTTTCTGTGTGTATATGCACCCAAGGCTTTGCAAATTACGTGTGGGCATCGTAGTTGAGTATTAATTTCTACTAGACAGCCCACTCCACAATAACAGCACAAACAGCATCCTATGCATTTATCAGCACAGAAACTGTCTGATGAAGTGATATCGCTCAGGCTGCAATTCTGTATATACTAAGCTCCATTTATCTCAATAATGCCTGCTTCTGAGTAGATCATGCTGTCACGCTTTTATCTAGGTTGACAAACACATGGCATCTCTTTTTTAAAAATTTCCTTTCAAGTTGTGATTCATTCCACAGCTTCTGCCTGTTTTTGTCTCCTTCATATTCATAGGGTTGTTCTTCACACACATACACACTTATTTTCTGGCACCAAACCTCAAAATACAGGAAAACGTTGGGTTTGGCTAATCAGTTACTTGTTTTTAATTTTCTGACTGAGGCGTTTTAGTACAAAATTGAAGAGCGCTGGGGCAGTTTTTGAAAGAGGACTTCTATGGCCGCTTGAAAACCAAATCTTTTTTTGGTCACCTGACTGCAGGTCACCTGACTACCTGGGGAGTTTGTTCCTTTGAAGTCAGCAGTAAAACTAGTTCGGTACCCAGCTTTAAGAGAGTCCATCTTCAGCCAGCCAAGGTTCGGCTTTCGTTTAGGAATGTGTACAATCTCACAAAGAGGTGTTTATTCTGTTTAAACTGCTGGCCTGAAGTAGAAATCCCATCAGTTAAGAAAACAATTTCCCTTCTCTTAATGAGCGCAAGCAAGGATCTCTGACTCTGCCGTCCGTCTTGCTCACTCACCCTCCTGTTTTTAGTTCTGGGTTCTTGGCTTGACACAGCTGATCTGCACAGATAAGATATGGAACAATCTCTCTGTTCCATACATTTTTTTTTTGAAAAGCAGCGAGTATGTCACGGACAGTAGTAGAATTTGAAAGCCTCGTTATCACTTGCCAGAGGGAGACCCTTTTGCCACAATTACTCTGCTGTGTGGTTTTATGGAAGCCTTATGCATGCGTGCCTACACACACACACACACACACAAACACACGTGTGTGCTCACCCCCATGATAAGAACAGCTGCCACCCACATACATTTCATAAGTATATTTGTGTTTCTAGCACATTCACAAGCCAGCTGATGGGCATATTAAAGCAGCCAGCTTCTGGAACCAGGCTACCCCTTTTAAACAACCGTTTGATTTGCAGCAAACAAGCAAAGGAGAGCGTTTAGGGCACCACGCCATGAAGAAGAAATAGAAGAAAAGCTTTGCTTGCAGATTTCTCCTGCAGATCAATACTCTGTTGCAGCAGCCCAGGCCGGTTTGGGTGTGCTTGTTCCCCTGCCGTAGCTACACGGCTGGCAACCTTACAGCATGCCGGTGCCAGATAAAGCATGCCAGCAAACACACACACACCCAATGCGGAATAGGCGCACAGGTTCCTAATAAGTTGTGTCAGGATCTTGCTTTTTTAAAATCTCTGTTCCCGGAGGCTGGCTGTTGGAGAGCGCTTCCCTCCCTCTCTGCGTCTCCCTATGCAAAATGCTCCCATCCCTAAAGGCAGCCTTACGTCCTGTAGGGGTTTGACGGCGGGGTCTTGCCACCAGAGATATTGTGGCTTCTAGGCAGCTTTCGACGGCCGCCATCTTTCTCGCAGATTCAGCAGCAAATCTGCGCCTGCGTTTCCTCCTCTGTGTACACATCCACACACCGCTTCTGACAAGAGTGAGTAGTGCCCTGGGATTTCAGCTCCCATCACCTCCAGCCAGGGATGATGGGCCTTGGAGGGCTACAGCCTCACCCTGCCTTAACGTTTTTCCACGCACGATGAAAAAAGCCACGGCAGCTGGGGAATGGGCGACCTGCCCCTAAACACCTGAGTCTTACCACTGGGCAGCCACTCCCATTTCGTCTCCGTCCGTGCTCTCATCGTTCACCACCCCTGCCTACAGGGGGCGTCCTGATCTCTTGGCGTTCTGATTTTCTTCATTGAAATGCATTGGGTTGTGTGTGTGGTTGCTGTTGTTGTTGTTTTAAAAAATGGCATCTATTATCGGTCTGTACGGGACAAGCCTTTTGGGGTTCTAGTCTTCCTACTCTCCCCTGACCCCCCAATGGCTTGTGTCCTTTCTCTGTCTCTTGCACTGTCTTGTCGAGACACTGGCTCTGGTTTGGGTGGGTGGGTGGGTGTGGGGAGACTTTGGGATTTTTTAAAAAATGTATGTATGTAATGGTGTTGCATCTTAGAGAGCAAGCTGAGGCCGCTAAGCTATGGCAGAGCCCAGGGTGGACGTGTGGGAGAAGGCAGCACTGAGGGCAATATTCTGGCTACTGAGCTTTAACCATCCTTGCAAGAAACGATGGTGAGGTTTTTCCATAATGGCTCTCCCAGTATGGCAGCTGCAAGACTCCTTAGCAACCCCTTCTTCACGCCCTTCCCCACATTTTCCTAGCAAGGGATGGTGTTGTGTCTCACAGCCCACTAGTCCAGATTGCCCCCTCCTTACACCCCTTCTTGTTTCATGACCTCTTTTCACTTGTGCCTGCTGCTGTTTTTAGGTTTTGCCACCTTTTAAAAAACGAAACAGATACCTGGCTCCTCTGCCTTCCACAGCTGTTCCATCTGCAAGCTGCTAGCAGGTAAAACTGCTATGAAAAGTTTCACCTGCCATTCTCCACCCCGTCCACCCACAGACTTAAGTTTACTGCAAAAACCATGCAGGAGGAGGTCAGTTGGCAAACGCAGCCACCTGCCACCCCTCTCGGCTCCTGCCATAGCTCCAGCTTCTCACTCCCCATCCCTTCGGATGTCTCTGTTACCTGCTGCCCCCACCAACTGGGTTACACTGTACATTAGCAAATAAAAAATATTGTAACCTCAGTTTGGCTCCCGCGTTTGTTTCTTCTTCCTGCGGGCCTTGTGCCCCTTCCTCTAAGTCCCCCTTTTAAACTAGATTTTTTGAAAAATGCAACCTCTCTCATCTGGGACGTACCATTTGGAGTCGCCCCTAGTCGTGGACGGAGCAAAAAATTCTGTTGGCATTGGCTTTGGAGATGTAAGGCTTCCTTCCTCCTGGGAAGGAAACTTCAGCTGGGAGTGGGAGCGAGTTTATGTTTTGTTTTGTTTTGTTTTGTTTTGTTTTGTTCTTCTCCTTGCAAGGTGCTTGTGGTCGGGTTTGACCTTCTGCCTTGCGTGGCCTGCTTATTTTTGGCCCTGGATTCCGACGATGCACCGCTGTTGCGGAAAACCCCGAAAGTGCAGGCTTGAGATGTCTTGAGCAGTGGAAGGTGGGGGACGCTTGATATTTTTTAAGAGATCCTCCTTTAGTAAGGCAAATCCCTACTTTTAAAGCACATTATTCTCTTCCACACCCCCAATATCAAAGAATTCCGGGAACTGTGGTTTGTTAAGAGTGCCGGGAACTGTAGCTCTGGGAGGGGGAACCACAATTCCCAGGATTCTTTGGGGGAAAGTTCTGTGCTTCAAATGTGCATTGGGTGTGTCTCTTCTATTTCTCTCTATCTTTGGCGATCCCTTGTAGCCGAGTAAGATTGTCTCCCATAAACACGGTTTTGACAGTGAGTCCGTAAGTGACTGTGGAGGCCAATTCTGGATCCACACGTCATTCCACAGTGGGGACATTGGTTTCCAGGTAGGAGTTGATCACAGTGAGGGTTTGCCAAGCGTGCCTTCCTCCTAGCACGTTTCTCCCTTTCATTCTGAGTTTGAGTGTCTTCAAAGCCCACAACACCTTTGGTCAAGGCTGTTCTCCAACTGGAGCGCTCGCAGGCCAGTGTTTCCCAGTTGTCGGTGTTTATACTACTTTTTTTTTAAGATTTGCCTTGAGAGAGTCTTTGAACCTCTTTTGTTGACCACCAGCATTACGCTTTCTATTTTTAAGTTCGGAATAGAGTAGTTGCTTTGGAAGACGATCACCAGGCACCCGCACAACATGACCAGTCCAACGAAGTTGATGTTGAAGAATCATTGCTTCAACACTGGTGATCTTTGCTTCTTCCAGGACACTGGTATTAGTTCGCCTGTCTTCCCAAGTGATAAGTAAAAATTTTCGGAGACACAACTGATGGAATCTTTTGAGGAGTTGGAGATGGCGTATATAAGTGGTCAGTGTCTGACAAGCATACAGTCAGGTTGTTAGTACAATAGCTTTGTAAACAAGCATTTTGGTTTCCCTGCAAATGTCCTGGTCCTCAAACACTCTGCACTTCAATCGGGAGAAAGCTGCACTTGCAGAGCTCAGGCGAAAAGCAAAGTCACTGCTTTGACTTCAATAGCACCTCATCCCACAAGATGAAGCTTTACAGGTGAATCTTTACCTAGCATGGCACTAAGTCATGGGACAGGTGTTGCCAAGAAAGGTTGCTCAATTAGACAAGGACCCAACTTGGTTGAGTGCAGCTTGCAATAATCCCAGTAACAGGCAGGCGCTTAAGTGGTCCATTGGAAATTCGGCACCAACCAGAAATTCTCAGTTGGAAGCATCCGTCTTAAATATTCGAATGGGAATACAAGTGTAAAAAGGTTCATAGAACCATAGAATTCTACAGTTGGAAATGACCACAAGGCTCATCTAATCTAACTCCCTGCAATACAGGAATCTGGAGCTTGAACCCACGACCCTCAATTAAGAATCTTGTGTTCTGCCGACTGAGCTATCCCAGGCAATTATAAGATCATTGTATAATCTTAGACGGAGGCATGGCTGCCACTATTGAGAAGGAAACCCTGCCCTTCTGAGTTTACTGTTACACTACTGGCAAAGAAGGAAAGTCACTATAGGCAGAGATTGGTGTTAAACTCGCTTTGGGGGTGAGCAGCAGAAAGATATGTAAAAAATGTTCATAAATGTACCAAGCAAACATGAACATAAATATATAAACCACATGTCTGAAACCCTACAGAAAAAAGTCCTGAACAAATTGACCTCAAATACAGTAGTACCTCGCAAAACGAATGCCTCGCAAGACAAAAAACTCGCTAGACGAAAGGGTTTTTTGTTTTTTGAGCTGCTTCGCAAGACGATTTTCCCTATGGGCTTGCTTCGCAAGACGGAAACGTCTTGCAAGTTTGTTTCCTTTTTCTTAACACCGTTAATACAGTTGCGACTTGACTTCGAGGAGCAACTCATAGAACGCGGTGTGGTAGCCTTTTTTGAGGTTTTTAAAGCTTTTTGAGGTTTTTGAAGCTTTTCCAAAACTTTCCCGACACCGTGCTTCGCAAGACGAAAAAAATCGCAAGACGACAAAACTCGTGGAACGGATTAATTTCATCTTGCGAGGCACCACTGTATTTCTCTGCAAGGTCAAAGTGGGAAACCTCCCCATTGTCTCTTTCCTCACGAATCCTGTCTTAAAGGCACATTTAAGATATGAATAGGGTATGAGCCTGTGACCTGGCTCAGGAACTAAGTATTTATCATTACAAAAGACTGGCCAGGCTCCCCAGGCAATCCAATCAAGTGACCATTAAACAGGTAACCTGCCAGACAGGAAATAAACAATGCACTCAGATTTCTGTTGTAGACTGCCTTTTCTGTGATGTATGTATGATGCTTCTGGGGGTGGTCTTGGACTCGAGGGTGGGTAATTTTAAATGTCTATATAAGGGCAGGCACACTTTTGTTAGGGGTTCCTCCTCCTTTCTCCTGTCTGTGAGGGGGCACCCTGTTGCAATAGTTGAATAAAGATCGAGCTTACTAGCTGCTTTGCTTCTCAATATTCTCTGGTTGGCCTCTGTTATTTTTTTCTACCGATGGAGAACCTACAAAGGACTCTACAAGGGCTCTTGTGTATCCCATAAGGGAATAAGGGCAGATTTTGTTTATTACAGAAGGAAGCAGCCATGAAAGGAGGGTGAGATTTCTTCCAGCAGAAAGAAAACTGGGAAGAGAGGAGCTCCACACCTCCCAGAGCTCCAGAGGTTCCTTTCTGCTAGTGGTTTGCCTTGGTGCAAGCTAAGGACGTGGCCAGACTGGGCAAAGTGCAGGGTTGAGAGCCCAGGAACCCACAGAAACAGAAGGAGGAAACTTTTTTTTCCCTTTCCAGAGGCCTTTGGCAGCTCCTGTTGCTGCTGCCGGTCTGAACAGCTGCCAAGGTTCCTTCTCAGGAAGCAGGGATTTGCCTGTGGAGACCTGAACAAAGGAGAAAACGTAAGCCGGGACTGGGAGGGGAAGCCTAGGGGATGCATTGGCTTGGAAATGCCCAGCCATGTTCTGTAGGAGCCTGGTAGACAGTGACATTTGGCGGCTGCAAAAGCCTGCCCCATTCTTGCCTTGCTTTGCATTTATATCTCACCTCCATCTCCAAGGAAAACAAGGTTCTCCCCCTCCTCATTTAATTCCCTGGGAAGTAGGTTAGGCTGAGAGGCAGTGACTGGCACAAGATCACCATTTGAGCTTCATGGCTGAGTGGGAATTTGAATCCTGGTCTCTTTTAAGACTCTGACACTAGTCTAAACGCTATATCTCACTGCTACTCTTAATGCAAGGGAAAACCCCAGTTACAGTACAGGAGGCTGCCGGTTTGAGTCAACGTCTGTCAGGGGGAGACATGTCTGCTGTTAAATTCTGGCAAGGTCCCTGCTCAAAATCTTCCCCAGCTGTTTCCCCTTCCATTGGGGGAGTGAGGGAGATAAAGAAAAGTCAACCAGAGAAGGTTATGAACAGAAGACCCTGGAGGGGACAGGGTTAAGCAGCCTGGACTCTCAGTGTGCTGTAGGACAGGCAAGGCCAAACTGGGCCCTCCAGCTGTTTGGGGACTACAACTCCCATCATCCCTAGCTAACAGGGCCAGTGGTCAGGGATGATGGGAATCGTAGTCCCAAAACAGCTGGAGGGCCAAGTTTGGTCATGCCTGCTGTAGGAGATGGAATGGGTGAGGGAACTACAGGCCACTTGAGATTGTTGGACTCCAGGCTCCCATCATCTCTTGCAATTGGCAATGCTGACTGGGCCTGATGGGAGCTGGAGTCAGTCAAGCACACAGATGGCCAGAAATCTTCACCGCAGAAGTAGGGGACCGTTTTTTCAACCTGAGCAACCTTTAAGAGGGCGGGGGGGGGGGAATGTTTGGGGCAATGGATGCCTTTCTACAGTCGATGACTTTCCAACCATGCAAAAGGCAGATTTTGAGACAGCCCCTCTCTGCCCTCTATCAGGCATTGCAGCAGTCCCGGGCACATTCTAGCCAGTCGAAAGCATTTCAGGAGAGGCCAGAGCAGTGCCGCGGAAGGCTGTGGTACTCTGAGGAAGTGCCATGGTCTGAGGACCACATAGGGAGTCCTAGAGGGCCACATCCGGCCCTGAGGCATGCCCTTCACCACCCCTGCTTTGCAAGGAGTTCCCACCCCAGCTCTTGTCATCAAAGGATGACCAGAGCAGTCAAAACATGATTGCCCATCACAGGTTAGAAATGGCCTATGTCTCCTGCTTTGGGACATCACAGCTGACTGCCTGTTAGGACTTCAAAGGCAGGTTGTGACTTCAAAGGCAGGTTGTGACCTTCATGCATGTGTGAACTTGTTCGGAGGTCCCACCTAGCCTTCCTGTGGTTAGAACAGGGGTGGGATAAAACGTGGATTCCGGAGCTGGATCTGTCTATGCTGAGGCCAGCCGCCAGGGCTGTACACGCCTTCCCAAAAGTGTATTGGACTCTCCCATCTTTTGCACCTCTTCCGCAGGGACTCTCTCAGTCTCTGGGAGACTCATAAGCTGCTAATTGGAGCAGTTCCTTCCTGCCTTCTTGGTCAGACATCCTTCCTTACTCCCTTGACTCCCCACACGCCCTTTTTGCTTTTAACTCATTAGCTCTCCTCCTCGTTTCTTTCCAAGGAATGTCCAGGGGCACTCGCCTGCCCCAACT